ATATTTTACGAAATATAACTATTGTAATGCTGAGATATTTGCAAAACTCCGGACCGCAGGTGTCTGCGGTGGGGAACGAACGCGCTATTGTCCTTACCACGGAGTAACGCGTTCACCACCACACCATGCGGGCCCTTCGCATCGCCTGTCTCTTAGCTAGTACTATCGATCAGCGCCATCAGCAATAATAAATTTTGCAATGTAAAAATTTAGAGGTTGATGAGTTTTTGGTAGAAGAAAGAATGCACGACATGGACTGACCTATAGAATTAAGAATAAGTGGGCAAGGCGTTCAGCGTTGATCAATCCTTGAGGGAAATGCCACACGTTCAACTCCATTAAACATTGTAAAGCTGATTGGAAGCATATTTGACTTGTAGATTCATATCTATGTATCAGATGTTTTTATCTAACCAGATAAGTCATGTGTTTCTGCGTACCTGCACCTACTGCGCTAGGCGTGTGATCCCCTGTCAAGAAGATAGAGGGAGGGTCGACAGGTGTGAAGTTGTAAAATGTCGCATAACGATAGTGTAGATAAGAAAAGCCTTCTTTCTCCCTTTTCTATATGAGTTTTGGATTTCTTAATAATTCATTGAAAGTACGTTCGAAGCATAGTTTCAAATCCGAAGAAGCGCGTGTAGAGAGGTGGTCGGAGGAACGCTGCAATACACATGGGATCGATCTCCTCGTCTCAGACCCACCACAAGTCCTTCATCTCTCTGGGCGCGAATTGGTGTCAGCCTTGTCTGGGAGAATAGCAGCATTGGCTCCATACACCGAAGGCCACCGCGATTTATTGCATAGGCCGGACATGCATTCAATCACCTCAAACGATGCTTAATGAAGTCGAATGAATGGCGCATCCCTCATAGATAGATCACAGCGAGAGTTTTATCCTTTTTTCACTTTACTTTCGAACCCCACCGTGTCAAATCACAGGTGAATTTGTAAAGACAACGAGAAAGTGGTCTATGGAGACAAGTATGGTAATAATTCCAGCTGTTAAGGTCATCGCTCTTCCTCAGTTCAGAAAAGTGAACAAGCGGAGGGACTGTCAGCCAAACATTTAACCTCAGTTTCAAGGAAACACCAGTTCTTATCACGATAAGTCAAAAGACATTTGTTCTTCTTACGCGACAAATTTCTGTCTTTGCAATTAAAATTATCAATACAGGTCAAAAGCGCGTAACGTGCAGCGCTTAGAAAGGCCTTGCAATACACAATGGATCGGTACCTGGTTCCACCCCTCGTTTTAGCCTTACTTCGCTCCTAGGTCAAAAATTTTGTACCATAAATGTCTAGAAGGATGAAAACTTTCACTTGACAATCGGTAGGCCATCGTGAGCCATTGCATAGGCCAAATATGCATTCAGGCCCTTGTGCGATGCTTGATGAAGTCGATTGCATGGCGAGCCCTTCAAAGACTAATCAAAATCGGCAACTTCGACCTTTCTTAAAGCGGTTCAAACGGCGCATTGCAGTGAACTGGTACTGGAATATTCAAGTCGTCTGGTCCATGCCTGACAAAGTAAGTTCTTTTTCTTCGTATTTTTGTTGAGCAAACGCGAGGTGTTACTATTCTTTGTTCACGATTAAGCTGACGTTTCGGCGGATTTCGCCTTCTTCAGAGCCTGGAAAGGTCAAGTTGATAGGCACTCTGGATTAATTCCAGAAATCCGAAAATGAACCGCAGGGAAGAATGCCTCATTATCACGCGTGATATAGGGCAGTATATAAAACTGCTTTTCTGATGTGAGGGGCACATTATACTTCCACGTGATATCTGTGCGGTTGGTCTCTACGTGACATACTTAGTGGAAACCTCATAGAAAGCGGTGAGTGTGCAAAGCTGTGTTCAAAGTGATTGAAATCTTGGTTTGGAGTTTCTTTGTTTGGTTATGGAGGCGTCTGGCCGAGTGAGTTGCTATCAACTTGACCTTTCCAGGCTCTGAAGAAGGCGAAATCCGCCGAAACGTCAGCTTAATCGTAAACAAAGAATAGTAACACCTCGCGTTTGCTCAACAAAAATACGTAGAAAATCACTTGATCAATGCCGAGGTTAATAGAAAGTCGGTCGTGAAAGTAAGTTCTGTTTCTGCCTAGGTTCGACACATAATAGTGGATTCGTGTACGATAAAACTAGAGACGACGATGGGCCCATCAGAAGCCAAAAGTCATCGCACCGGCCGCATAGTTCATAATCATTGCTCAGGTGAAATTACATGAATTTTGAATTCATCAAAGCTGTAAACTTCATTCTTTTTCTTAATCATCTCGTCAATAAAAAGGAAGCCGTTACATACATAGTTCGCTACGAACTTAGAACTACTTGGAGTAGTTTTCTAAACGAACCTGTCTGAGTCACTACGAATGCACATCGCGTGGAATTGCGAGCCGTTGCAAAAGCGCTTGAAGGCGCAGAAATAGCTGAAATGGTTATACGAGGTAAGGATCCCCGTGGTGACTACGATTAAGATGACGGTAGTGGCCGTCGTCGAGCAGCGCTTACGAAGGCGAGTCGACAGTGGATACATGATTCCCATGAGACGTTCGAGACAAATCACCAGAATCAGCCTGAAAATCACCACGTTCGTACTCAGATGCGATAATGGGCTGGTACAAAATTCCAGATGACGGGATAAAGAAGTGAAAGTGGAGAACGGGAAAGAAATTGTTGAACAATTCTAGTTCAATGGGAAGGGAGGCCAGCTTGTGATACAATGAATTTAACGAGCAAACGATCACAGCAAATGGGAGACGAGCAAAAACCACCACAATCTATTCAGAAATTTTTATCTACTACTTATTCACCAAATAGAGACAAACTTCGGCATATATGTGTCTGTAAATTTTCGACTGAAAGCAGACTTAATACATCTATGAGCCTGAAGACCATATTGAATAGACTTCGTATTATCTGAAGAGTGTAGATAATTTCTCCTCAATGTTGTTTTAATCTCGAATTTGTTTGTGATTCAAATTTTCAAACAAGTTTGTTGATAATTCACAGTCCAACGGTAGCTAGCTCACGGTGCATTCACTCACTGTGGAATGCCATGGCGTTCTTTTGAATAAAATGCCGCTGAAATCGCGTCGCTGCTTGAGAATGAACTTCGACGAAAAAATCAAAACGGATTATAGAAAATCATACCCACGGATCTCCCTCATATGAGGGTCCTCGAGCCGGTTAGTCGTGAAGCTACGTGGCGCGTCCACAGGTGGCGGATGAGGGCTACTCGTGGACCAAAAGCGAGCTTTGTTTTCTTGAAACGTAGGTTGATCCAGGGGTAATCTCCATGCTTTTCCTGCCTCGATTTCGCTCATACTTTCTGTATTTACGATGCGCGTTCATGCATGTGTGCGTGGGTGTGTCCTCGCTTATGCAGATTGTATTCTTTCTTTGAAGAGCTTACACGAGGTAGATAATCATATTTATTTTCGGCTAACTTTTCGACGTCTTCGCCTTCCTCAGAGCTGATGATCCGAGTCGATGGTCAACGCTTGTTATTCGTCTCGACGTGGCAGCTTCGCCTTCGTGTCGAGTCAGGTCTTCCTCAGTGGGCCATCTCCTCGAATGAGGCATACTCACTCGGTGATGCCCTATGCAGATTATATTCCACGAGTTAATTCGGTAGCCTGCAATTAAGTGAGAGGGAACAATATGGGACGTAATTAGAAGTCGCCTCCAAGGAATAAGCTTTACGTCTACTATTGGGAGAGACTAGCAAGCTATCCGTGAGTATACCCAACCCGCATCTTCAGAGCTCAGCAAGCTATGCGTGGGTATCAGAAAGCTAAACACAATAATAGAAATGAACCTTATTCCACTGACTCTGAAAGAGCCTCTGATGCGGCAGCGTTGTGAATGCAATGTCCCTACTCAATGAAAGAGCAGCAAGACCGTGCTATTGTTCAAGAGGGGTGACGTCCACGTTATTGGCAACTATTGCCTAATCTGCATGCTGTCTGTTGCCTACAAACTTTTCACTCCAGTTTTCCTAAACAGGATTGACAGAACACTGGACGAAGGACAACCATATGAGCAAGCAGGGTTTTGAAAAGGATTCAGTACGATAGATCACATCCACAGGGTAACAAGACTTACCGAAATGTTGCAATAGTACAAAAGACCGTCTTGTCTCACTTTCATCGATTTAAGGAAAGCCTTCGACTCAGTTGAAATAGCAGCAGTCATGGAAACCCAGGCAACCAGGGTTTTAGAGAATTCATTTATCAGATAGAGAATTGTCTACCTACCTACTAACAAACACATTCCCTAAGTCGATAGGGACTGCATTTGCCACAACGCCTGCGTAGTATCTTGTAGCCATTATTCACACCACCAGGCATGCTATTGAGTACGTCTCATTGCTTGGGGACAAGATCCCGCGAACGCCTTTCATATTCTTGCGCTGTGAGCCGTTACGTTGGTGCAATGACCAAGTCGACTCGAACTTAAAGGAACAAGAAACGCTCAACGAAACAAGCCGAACCTCATCACGAAAATCCATTATCAAGTGCGTTACATTAACTCTCAAAAGAAAAACAAAAACAATGACAACTATCTTGTCCGCTCGCCAAGGACTATTAGCGAAGGCAATCAACCGCAACGTATCCACCTTAAATAGCTTTCAAAACGAAATGGACACGGCACTAAACTTTCTGACCGAACAAACTGGCAGAATCGAGTACATTAGTGGACGTCAGCGACCAGACCGCGCTGGATGCTTATGCCATAATGGCAGACCAACTCCAGCAAAACCCCAATACTTAAGCAAAAGAGGAGCTGGCAACGCACTGCCAATATGAACGTAGAAAAAACAGTGGAGCACCTCGACGAAGCGGAACTCTGCCTCTCTAAGCTCATCGACTTAGGAAAAATGCTGGAAAGCACCGAGACTATCCCACTAAAGGACTCAAACGTCTATCTACCTGTGACGAATCTTCCACCTATCCCTATTCCAAGGTTCAACGGAGACATAAGAGAGTGGGGAGCATTTTGGGGAGCATTCAATTATAATGTGCACTCGCGCAGGATGGACGACCTCCAAAAAATGACCTATCTGCTGGACGCCCATCAGGGAGAAACAAGAGAATGCGTCAAGCAGTATCAAATTTCGCGAAGCACTCATCCGACAGTAATACAGCATCTGAAAGAAAAGTACGACAATAAACAAGCACTCGTCCGTCATTTGCTACGCAGACTACGTACAACAGAAGCAAAGACGAAACGCCTCGAAGATCAGGAAAAGCTATGTGAAACCCTTTACTCGATAGTTGTTCACCTGCAACAAAAAGGGAAATTAATCGATACTAGTACTAATAGAGGTGACCTTTGATACGGGATCTGACCGTTCATTCATTAGTAAGGCGCTAGCCAATCGCCTTCAACTACAAGACAGTGATTCCATCGAATTAACCATTCACACATTCGGAGACCCAAAGTCAATTACTAGGACATGCGGAGTCACTACGTTGAAATTTCCGGATGCCTTTGGATCAAAGCACGCAATTACGGCAACTAGGATCGATAAGATTATACAGCCACTAGAACTCCTCAGTCTAAACCGGGAGGACACAGAATTTCTCGAGAATCATAAAACTGAGCCCTCGATCAACCCAGATCTTAACGCCATATATCCACAAATCCTTCTCGGATGGTCAGACTCATTCACCATGCTTGATAGTGGACTAACTCCAATAAGAGCATTGCCATCAGGATTGAGATTAATCCCATCTAAACTTGAATATCTCGTGACAGAAACACTGCACGAGCGAATCGGTACATCGAACAAGGCTGCGTCTCTCATGATGGATGCCACACATGCATGTCAGCACACATTGAACAGCAGTCATGGGAAAAATATTGGTCATTAGAATCATTAGGAATCCATGAATACACAGGACCAAGCGTACAAGAACGACAGCAACAGAACGACAATATCTGGAAAGAGTTCCAGAGAACAATAGAAAAACGAGAAGACGACTATTATGTCCGCCTCCCTTGGAAAAATGATGCAGGCACATTACCAGATAACAAAAGCATCGTAGTAAAACGATTGCAGGCGACAATAGCGAAGCTAAAGCATGATCCAGTTATGTTCCAGAATTATCATGAAACCATCAAGGAACAACTGGACCAAAACATCATTGAGGAGGTTGACGAATCAATTCCAACAAGAGAAGCGATAATACATTACCTTCCACACCAAGCGGTCCTCACTCCGAACAAAGAAACTACAAAGTTGAGAACTGTTTACGATGCATCTGCTCACCTCAAGAAGGCCCCCTCATTAAACGATGTCATTCATCAAGGTCCACTGTTCCTACCAAAAATATACGACATTTTACTTCGGTTTCGCATCGGAAATGTCGCAATGATTTGCGACGTCGAAAAGGCTTTCCTATGCAAATGCGACTGCATGAAAGAGACGGAGACGCTACACGATTTCTATGGATCCGAGATATCTCACAACCTCTGAAACCAAGAAACCAATAATCGTGTACAGATTTACACGAGTTACATTTGGACTCAATTGGTCACCATTCCTTCTGGCAGGAACAATTAAACACCATTTAAATAACTGTCAAAATGACCCTAAATTCGTCAGACGCCTCATCAATAACACTTATGTGGATAACGTGATTCTAACAGCCGCCTCAATACAAGAAGCAGTGTCGACATACAGAGAAGCAAAGCAGATATTCAATGATTTGAACAAGAATTTACGTGAATTTCTTTCAAACGACAAGGAGTTTCTACAGCAAACACGTCACAAGGATCGAGCGTCAAGTAGTCTACAAAAGGTCTTAGGGATACTAAAGCGTTCCACGGAAGATAAACTCCTTATCTCATGCAGATATCCAACAAAATCGAAACTAACTAAACGGGCAATCGCCGAACAGGTAGCCGCTATCTACGATCCTATTGAGCAGCTCACGCCACTCACATTAAGAGGAAAGAAATTTCTTCAAAACATCTGGAACTTCGAGTAGACGTGGGACGGTCCTAAGAGGAAAGAAATTTCTTCAAAACATCTGGAACTTCGAGTAGACGTGGGACGGTCCCCTGTCAAAGGCGTAGAAAGATCAGTGGGAAAAATGATTTTGTTGTTAATGTTAATTGTTGTAATTGTTAATGATTTTAACGGGTTTGAAACCTTCATCCCACGAAAAGTACCCCAGATCGAAGTTTCAACGAGCCTAATTCTCTTCGCGGATAATAGCAACCATTGTATAGCCACTTGCACCAACACTGTTTCTAATGGCGAATCACAACTCGCAGGGAAGTTTAAGTTACCATCAGTCAGGGACAACCCCACAATTCCAAAACTCGAACTAAATGCACTAACATTGGCAGCACGGTTAGCACATTCACTATACATAGCACTAAACAACCTCACTTCTATCACAAATATAACTATACTCTCGGACTCAGAAATCGCTCTCAGCTGGATACGGTCCGACGAGGTGTACAAAACAGCAGGGGTGTTGGTGAAGAACCGCATAAAGGAAATATGCCGAATAGTGGAAAATATACCAACACCTGTACAATTTGGATACATAGCCACTGATCAAAACGCCGCTGATGGCGCTACAAGAGGACTAAACAAAATCGAATTAAAAGACCACATATGGTGGAAAGGACCGGCATTCATCAGAAAACTATACTCGCGAAATGATCAACGCCTTTTCACCTTAGAGCAAGAAAGCATACAAAGGACACCGGTGACCACAACTACAGCAATAGCCACCACACCCGTCGAAGAATTATTCGACTGGAAGCGATTCAATGGACTTGGAAGAGCAAAAAAAGGCGACCACATATGTTCTCAGACTCATCAGCAAAGCCAGCTCCAAGGTACAGAAGGAACTGCGTGACCGGAGATATACAAGAATATCCCAGAGCTCCACGCAATGTCAACAGAAGCGTACGTCACGGCCATAGAGCAAGAAGCAGCCTTACGAGTTCTGATACGAAACCACCAAGCAGTTCATTTTCCTTCACGATCAATGAAAGATTACAAGCATTTGGAATTATATCACGATGAAAGGGGATTCGGTGCAAAGGCAAATTAAACAAAGCAGAGCTGCCACGTGAAACTCAACAACCAATTCTAATCAGCTCTAAAATATCACCAGCAGAATTAATAGTTGTCGAGGAACATCTCCCATTCCATAGTGCAACAAGCCAAACCGTAGCCAAGCCACGTGAAAGATTCTGGATGACAAGCATGAGACAAATTGCTAAGAAAGTTACAACACAATGCGTACCCTGTCAAAAGATGAACAGTATCCCCTACAAATATCCGCCGACCTTCCAGAAAGGAGAGTGAGAAGATCGCGACCGTTCGAGCATGTAGGTGTAGACTATTTCGGACCACTAACAGCGAGAAATAATGAAGGAACGACAAAAGTCTACGGCATCATCATCATGTGTGCGACAACCAGACTAATTCATTTAGAACTCATACAAAGCGTAACGACGAATGATTTCCTGCTAGCTTTAAGACGATTTTTTGCCAGACGAAGAGTGCCCAAAACTGTCATCTCTGATAACGCATCCAATTTCCTACTGAGCGAACAAATTCTACAAGGTACAATTCTTCCCGTTATTAACGATGCGTCACTAGCAAATACAATGCAACAAGATGAGTAACATGGAGGACAATTAAGCCGCATGCTCCGTCCGAAAGGCATTTCACGAGTGCCTCATAAAGTTGGTCAAGTACTCACTATACGAAGTACTGCAAAGAACGATCCCAATAACGGAAGAATTGGAAACCATCTTAGTAGAAATAGAAGGAAATCTCAACAGTCGACCTCTCACATACCGAGAAGAAGGCTCCGACAACTTTGTTACCTTGCGAGCAATAGACTTTATCCAGCGCGACATGATAATAACATATTCATTTGAATTCAGCAGAGAAGAAGGAGACGATAAAACGTATCTTCCACCACAAGAAGCAGCATTACTGCGCACGCGAAGGGAAGTGCAGGATGCTCTTGCATCAAGTCACAAATTGGCAGAACAATATTGGAATATTTGGAGCCAAGAATACTTGAAAAGTCTCCGAGAAACTCATAAACAACATAAATAACAAAAGAGGCACGTTAATGACTCCAACCATAGGTCCGGTGATACTAATTTAAGATTTAGTTTTGCCACGAAACACGTGGAAAATGGCGCGCATCATCGACTTAAAGCAGTCAGAAAGTGGTGGAATCCGAGAAGCACAACTCAAATTGCGGAGCGGACGTATCATAAGGAGACCAATTAATCTACTAATTCCACTTAAACTGGAAGAAAGCCCAACACAGGAACAGTTAGACACAAATGAAGAGACGAAGTCGCCGACTCAAGGTCCCCAAAGCGCAGTTGGAATTCTAAATCAACGCTATAATCTCCGACCTCGATCACGTGACAACAACGTACCAATAATCAAAGAATTCGTCCTCCACAAGTCGAAGAGGGACATGAGCCGAGAAATGATTCCGAAGTGAACGGTCAAGAAGGACACGAATCGTCGAGTCACCACAATAACCTTCGACCATGAAGCCCCACTCAACCTACAACATCAGCCACCGTCCATCTATTCCAATCAATCCAGCCAGATAAAACACAGGAGCTAAAGCAAAACTCCCACGAAAACGTTGCCAACACCAAATCAACGCACCTATTAAATGGAGGAACACGCTCAAAGACAAACCCATTAATCGACGACAGCAACTGAACAGCATACATACGGACGTAAAAGCACCAACACTATTCCACTAGAAAACTGCTGCCTCAGAGCCCACTCTTTTAGTGGTGGGGGACTATAGAGAATTCCTCTATCAGATAGAAAATTCTTTATCTACCTAACAAACACATTCTATAAGTCGATAGAGATTGCATTTGCCACAACGCCCGCGTGCGTGCCTTACATCCACATTCCATTCAAGCCATCGGGCACGCCACTAGACACAGTATCTTGTAGCCATTATTCACACCACCAGGCATGCTATTGGGTACGTTTCATTGCTTGGGGACTAGATCCCGCGAACGTCTTTCATACTTTTGCGCTGTGAGCCGTTACACCGGTGCGTACACTATTGTTAATGCATTTTATTAGGTAAAAATCCACTGAACCACCTCACTTGTAATTTACTGCACATACATTACAAACCTCATTGGATTTTGTAATAGTTCCCAGGATCAACTTTTTATTAACCTCGGCATTGGAATATACGTCGTTTTCTTGTTCAGCAAGCGCGAGGTTTTTAAACAGCATACATTTACTTCCACAGAGAAACACAATACAATACAACACAACACTAGCTGACGTTTCGGCAGTATCGCCTTCTTCAGAGCCGCTTTTTAAGTGACTTCCAATGAGGAAGTTTAGAACAGCTGATTATAGTCGCATATGGTTGACGACTTTAAAAATAGCGGCTCTGAAGAAGGCGATACTGCCGAAACGTCAGCTAGTGTTGTGTTGTATTGTATTGTGTTTCTCTGTGGAAGTAAATGCATGCTGTTCAAAAACCTCGCGATTGCTGAACAAGAAAACGACGCATTCTCATTGCATTGTTGTGTAAATGGTATGTATATACGTATAGAAGCTTAATTAGCCAAGTTTGAGGTACGTTACAAGTATCTCTTCACTCTTATTCACTCCCGCAAACACCTTTTATATTCTTGCGCTATGAGCCGTTACAGGGGTGTCCCTACTCGGTATGAAAGATTCTTCGCGGGCTATATAAAAATTTCGCAACCAAAATATCACCATTATACAACGATATTAGAATCGAATTCAAAATAGCAGACATGCAAGGCGATAGCACGCATACCAAAATTATTTACTGCCACACTCCAGAACGTCATGCGAACACTGGAATGGGACAACATGGGAAGAAAAATCGATGTTCGGCAATTACACCATCTTTACCTTGCTGATGACGTCGTCCTTATAACAGCAAACATTAGTCAAGCGGAACGTATGCTTGCAGACTTTGATAAAGCCTGTGGAAAGATTGGTCTTCAATTAAATCTCACGAAAACGATGTTCACGAAGAACAGAATGGTTACGTACGCCCCATACACTCTGAACGAAACGAATATCTCCGAATGTTCCAGTTAAGTCTGTCTAGGTCAGGAAATCAACATGATGAACGACTCGGCTCCAGAGTTGAGCACGAGGAAGCCAGCACCTTAGGGAGCGTTCGAGAGCAATGAGGGTGTAATGCAGAAAACAAAGAACACCTCCATGCCCATCTTTTCGACTAAACGATACTTCCTCCCTTAACGTATAAGTCAGAATCCTGGTCGATGCGTAAGAGGATGTAGGATCGCTCAGCGTTACTGAACGCGCAGTCGAAAGGACGATGCTAGGAGCACCCCTTCTCACACAAGTAAGGGAAGGGATGCGAAGCTCCGGCCTGCGTCAAAGATCAAAAATCAAAGATGCCATTCTGCACACCAGGTCGAAGAGTCGAAGATAAGGTGGGCCGGACACGTAATGCGTATGAATGACAACCAATGGACAAAAGCCGTTAGTGACTGGAATCCTCGGGATGTCAAACGTTCTGCAGGAAGACCACCGAGCCGATGGTCAGAATTTCAGAAATCTGCAGATTCAACGAGACATTATTTCAATTCTTCATGTTCACTGTTAGCAACGACATTTTCATTCAAAGTTGTAAGGTATAATTATTTTCGGAGATGCATGAGTTGGAACCAATTCGTACCGGTTACTATATGTTAAAATCATAGGAGAATTGCCAAAGTACTCTCTCTAACTTTCGTGTTCCATTTTCACTTCTTCGATCCTTTGATTGCCTTTTTTCGACCTATGAGAGGATCTTTTTAGCGCCGATATCTCAGATTCATTGAGATATTAAGTTAACTAGAACCAATTGTGAGTGAGGATTTTTGGTTGTCATAAAAACTTTGTCACACAATAAAAGCATTTTCGCATTGAGAGTTTAGTTCGGGTAATCCCGACGACGTTTTTATATTAATCTATTTCTATTTGTTTGGCGTGCAATTTTTCCGTACACCTTACCTGGCACTTGTAGATAACGTAATCATAACAAAATGTTCGAGAACCCCCTACCCACCAAAACGAGATTGCAGAGAAAATCATACTCGACCAACAGCCAACATGAAAGAAGGAGAGTATAGCAGAGCCTCAAGCTGTAGCTAAAGCCACATACGAATTACACACCTTTGTGGATGACAGGCGCAAGATAACAAAACCAATAAAAAAACATCTTGGACCCTCATGTAAAAACGGACCACCTAAAAGTCGAAGTAAATAATCAGTTCTTTAGAGATATGGCCGTAGTTATCGTATGGCATAAGAGATCGCGGAACATCAAAAAACATACTTCCTTCTAAATTAACTAGAAAGCGTCACCAGTGGCTAACATCTAATTGCTAATGGAAGCATATTTCAAACAGTTTTCCAAGCATACAGAGCAAGAAAAATCCGTATAATAGGAGCCCTTGATGGTGACCTTTCCCAAGTCACAGGTAGGTTCTATTTCCACTGGCGATATTAAAAACAACGCTCATAAGTCGCAAGGTTTTAATTAGTAAAGAGCAAGATAAGCTATCACTTTGGGAAGGAACTGCTCAAGTATGTTAACGAATGACGGATGGCAAGGAAGACGTTGATCGCAAAAGTTTCGTAGTAGGGATAAAAGCTTTGAAGATAGGAGAAAATAGCGATGACATTCTTCTACCGATGATAACCACTTGAAGAAGTTAAATCAAAGCAAATCAGTCTCACTGAGATATTGTAGAAGAAGCAGACGTGAGTGGAACAAGAGTTCAGAGCAAACGTCTAACTGGGATAAAATTTCTGACCACTTAAAATCCAAGATTCTATTAATAAAGGTTATTATGAAATTTTTACACATGGAAAATGAATTAGATGAAATAATCCACTATAAACCATTAAAAACCTTTACAATGGAGTAGCGTTAGGGAGTAGATAAAAGGAAGGATTTTGGGAAGAAGCGACTAGATCAACATTCAGCGACATTCACGACATCGATAAAAAAATCCTTAAACAGCAGCTAACCACATACGGGACAGAAAAGTTCGAAGACTATCCTGGATGGCGAATGAGAGCAAATAATTGGAATGCAAGAAGTGCTAGGATCCCCAAAGGTTTGAAGACGGTTCATATAAAAAAATTGTACTGGTTCTGGTGATATAAGAAAAGAGAGTTAAAAGGGAAACCACTCTTCTGAGGAAGCATATTTCCTGAACACGTTGCCACTTTATGCACGAAAATCCTGGATACCAGCTAATCTCTGTCTTTCGGTTTGACGATCTTCTCAATTCTAGTTAAGCTCAGCAATAAGATGGCACTCAAAATTGCTTGGAACTAACCAGATCGCCGCAGCTGACGCCCAGTTGAGAATGGCGAGGAGGTGCATCTTATTGCCCAGGTAGAGGCGACGGAACCAGTAGCTGAACGCGAAGATCTTGTAGTGCGCGAGTGAATGAGGCATCATGAACACCAGGAAGACGATGTCAGCCACCGCCAGAGACGCAAGCAGCAAGTTCGATCTGTAATGGATGACACATTTGGCACCAATTCCAGAATTTACTCAAGTTGTCCCTAACATGGCATACCTCAAAAAAAACCAGCATTTAGATGCCCATTATTTAACTAAAACTTAGGCAATTTTTTTTTGTAACAGTCTACAAATCAATGGAACCATGGCAATAGTGAAGAAGGGCACGAAGTTCGATCGAGTTATTTAGTTATTCAAACCAACTTCAAAAAAGACAAGAAAGTCGTTTTAGAACCTCGACCTTCTTATAGAGACTTTCTAACCTGTAGAGAAAGTCTCGGTCTTATCATTGGCCCAAGGGGCGCGTGTGGCGCAGTGATCGGAGGCGCCATGCAAGACACACGTGGAATCGATCCTGCACCCATGGTCCACCAAACCCTTCAACCCTCCGAGGTCGGCAAATTGGTACCGGACTTGTCTGGGAGAATAGCAGCACTGGCTCGATAGATCGATAGTCCATTGTGAGTCATTGTAAAGGCCAGATATGCATTCATTCACCTCCAAACGATGCTTAATGAAGTCGAATACACGGCGCATTCCTCAGGGATTGATCAACGCCGAGAGCTTTATCCCTTAACCCGTTAGCTTTATCATCACTCTTATATACATGGCACGTGATTCTTTCAACACTGTTTAATGTCTCAGTTTTTATTTCATGTCCTATAGCAGGATACTACACGAAATACAACCATGACAACTCACTATTTAATGTTGTCATATAATCTATTACATTTCAAGATACTTGACACAAGACCCATGTGACAAAATCGTAGAGAGGTGAGCATTCTGTAACGAGCTAAGTGATTTCTCGATTATGTCAGCTTGCTCGACGAACCATATTACACTGGGGTAGCTACGACATTTCTCTCAGCTATTCAACTCAATTTCCATTGAATTTCGGATGATCTAATGCTGGTGACGCGCCCACAGTTTTACGCAGAGCCCCACCCCATGGTCAATTCAATAGTGTCGCGCTTGCAGCCTGAAATTGGATCGCTTAATAGAATCGGTTCAAATGCGGACCACAGTGGCTGAATAGCATTTCCGATTGAAAGTCGTCCGCTCCAGTGTCGCCTACGAGCAGCTAAATAGGAAGGTTCCGTTTGCATCCGACAGAAATTCGTCACGTCAATATGAATACCGTGTCGGGTTAGTGTTACCACTGGTGATACTTAGTTTGGAGACGATAAAAACCATAATATCCGAGAATTCAGGGATCTACGACTTCTCAGCAAAGAAAAGCAAGAAGTAATCTAGAAAAAATATTTGATAAACTTTGGGGAAAATATAAATTTTTCTGAAACATGAATGAAACCAAGTAACTACTAACAAATTTCAAGAACAAATACTGTTAGATGGTTGCGGCAATTTTGTCCTGGTTAATGTTTTCCCTCGTTTTTGATGAAAGCCAGTAGGCGAGAGGATCTGCGTGAGTAACCATTGGCTAAGAAACTTCTGCATCAGCACAAAGTTCGAACAGCCGTTCAGAACTTTGCCCAGTCCCATACCGCCGCATGTCGAGTAACGTCTTCGCTCCACTATACAACTCTCACACAGAGTACGAAAAGCGCTGAAGAGCTCCTTCCTGAAGTATCGATGCTATATGGGTTTTTGCCCTGACACTTATGTAACGTATGCAACGCTTGCAGATAGCATTAGGTCACCTAGAAAATACATGAGATCGGTTTTTTTCCAATTTTTATCTTCCAAGGTTTTTGTTCTGTGTAAAACTTGTTGAGGATAAATGTTACAATGTTGACCGCCTTGATATGATGATTTTTCTGTTGATTTTCACCAGATTCTTTCCATTTCCTTTGGAAAAACCAAGGTCTTATCACTGTTCATCTGTGGTTTATGATGGCATTTTTGATAATAGTACGATCAGTAAGTATATGCAAATAGCATATTGTCGAATTTTCCTCGATAACACCTGTAGGTTTTCTACTGGCATAGTTATAATAGAAATAGGTCTCACACCTCGTTCTCATAGCTGGAGTGAGAAGTACTGTCAGATTGAGGATGTTGCCGCTGATTCCGAACACTATGAGGATCGGCACTATCTTACCGATGAACAGACGCTCGACATCATTCACAGCCAGCTTCATTTGGCGCTCCGTTAGGCAATGCGAAGAAACCTCCGATGTCATCTGAAGTCAGACACTGCCGCAACGATGTTTTGATGCTCAACGCCAACAATAGATCGTGCATTTATGTAAAAGCGAGAATCGCGTCATACAACTAGGTCATATTAATGTGAAACTTGAATAAATAGACGTTATCAAAAGCGACAGAGAAAATGAAGGACCGGCATGCTGTGGTGGTAAACGCGTTAACCCCCTGCAAGGGTAATAGTGCGTTCGTTCTCCACCGCAGACACCCGCGGTCCGGAGTTTTGCAAATATCTCAGCACCATTGAAGTTATCAAAAGACTTATTTCCAAGAATTTACCAACAATGAGAACAAAACTGAGCTAAATGGCATTCATAAATCTATTAGTTGATCACTCGCAATTCCTTTTGAGACTTCAGATTTTAAAAAGACACAGTGAAACGGCTATCATAAATCTGCTGGTAAAACTACGAAAATCACGAATACTTTTACGGCATAAGTCAATTGCATTGCAATTGCAGTACTACACCGCGATTTATGAAGATGTGGAACACGATTTGGAAAATCAGCAAAAGAACTGAGAGCAGCATGACTCTCATAACTGAGAACAAAAGCAAGAGAGCTAAATACGGTCTCGCCGAAATTTTCTATCCCAGAAGGTCTTCTCTGAGCTGACGGCATGAGACGGTTCAATCCTATTGCGTCGAAGCTGGTTTTTTCGACAACACGCGACAATTCCTCGTTTACTAGAGCATCTGAGAAGTTAGGAACTTTAAAATTTGTAAGAGAGACTTTCCTTATTATATTGCTCATGTATAGAAATGTTAAACAGCGTCGTTTCGGATTCAAATATATTCAAAACTGAAACTTCCGAAAAATTGCAGTTTAAATTTCGGCTCTGAAAATTTTCAACGGAAACAGCACTAGCATACATTATAAAAGATATATAGGACAACACCACCGTACCCCTCTAGAAGAGGTCCTGCTTGTTCATTCGCTTTCACATTTAAAAAAGGGGCTTTGAACCAATAAAGTGTTGGAAATACATATCATTAGCTTCAGAAATTCGGTGTTTCATCATCGAACAAGGGAAAACTGAGGCAAAAAATTGCAGAGTCTAAGAATTTTCGTAGGTTTTTTGGAACTGATAAAATTCATTGTGAGCCCAGATATATTGATATATTGATTTAAAGTTGGAAGTGGTCGTTATTTTCGCATCACATGATTCTTGTGGAAGACGTCTCGTCGTGGGTGTGTTAATCAGTCTCGTTATCGTTTCATGACGAATGAAGTGTTAAGCGAATAACTAAAAGAGAAAGTTGGTCCATCGCACTTATTTCACTGAACCACCAGCTCCTACAGTATGTTATGCGTGAATAAAGACGGAATTCGATAAGTCCTGCACGTCCGTTAAAACTCATAGAATATAGTGTGAAGGTGAAGTGAACGAGGGACGTTTGTAGCCCAATGTTAAAGGTGTCTTGCAGCACAAATTGACAGCTAGTTCGCTACCGCACTCGGGCTCCCCAAGTCTTCCATCCCTTCTAGGTGACATATGATATTGTTAACATATTTGCCAGGGAGGATAAAAACACTCACCTGAGACATCGATAGGCCGCCGAAAGCCCTTGAACAGGCCGAATGTGTATTCAACCACATCTACGATGCAAAATGGAATAGAATGCACGACACATCTCTCAGAGATTAATCAACGCCGAACGCTTAGTCGCTCATGCTTTTAAAAGTGAAGTTTTGACCAAGTAGAATGTGTGGCTATATCACGACTACTGTGAGTTTGCTGTTAACTAACACAATATGGAAAATGAATAAAAAGAACGATGTAAGGAATATTTCTGCAAAACTGGAACCAGGGGTCCGGTAGAAGGAAAGTCGTATGGAAATTGCACCCACCGCTTATTTGAGTTATAGACTCTACTTAAGAGGGGATTTCCTGTGTGGCTTTCACTGGGAAATTGAAGTAAACATAGGAAATGGGTTCCTCCCCCTGTAAACTGAAGTGATATGCAAATAGAGAGAAAAAAAATTGAACAGTGGTGTACAGTATGAAGTAAAGATCCACCTTTATTTGGAATAAAGCAATTGTCTTTTCGGAATCGTTAAAAGAGAGCCATTCATTTTCAGTATGAGATAAGAATAGAATAAATAAACGAGAATGACTTTTGAGCTACCTCGACAGCACACATTTGAGTCAGCAAATCGGACGTGGAGCCGAGAAGGAAGAGTCCACCAACCGCACGCAGACAGCTTAGATGTTCTTTATAATAAAAGTCTCAGTGTTTCAAAGTACTCTCACATTAGGATTTGAAATCGAGAGGTTCTTCCTAGCCCTTAGTTCCTAACAGTCTAATGTGAGGATGACCCGTCATGTCACTGGTATAATATCCTTACTCGGCGGTCAATTGATCGATGTTGATCAGAAATGCAAAAAAAGAAATGTGGACATGAATCTGGTCATGATGGATTATTCCGAATCATACCCTGCTAACCAATAGAGATACCGATTTGATGAGAGACACTCCTTGACGCTTCACACTTCGAAACCGAAAGAAATCACATCAACAGATGCGATTGCATACCTGTAAACATCATCCTAAGCTTTAATGACCAATGAAAATTGATTTAGCACTGATAATTCCCAGAGATTCTCCTAGTTAAACAGAGGTGATGAGACCACACAGAGTCATCGAATGAACTTTACTGTTGATGATACGAATTGACGTGTTTGTGGATGGTTGCTACTGTCACATCTACTGTCATCTACTGTCAGACGCATCTAAGGAGATGTGTAAATGGCAGGACCTGACTCCACGTATGAACGAGAATCACGAATGCGATCCATCAAAGATCAAAAGCACTCCTATGTATGCAGTAATAACGAGCGGACTCATTCGCCTGACTGGAAAAAAAGCTATTCATGCGGTATCGTTTGGAACTATGTGCACGAGGATTTGAGAGAAACAAAGTAGCATACTATTGCTATGCTGGGTGAGTTGCCGAAGGCCTAGCCCATTATACGAGACACAGAACTTTTCCCAGTTCCTCATGACTGCAAGGGTTCGCCGACTCCAAACTGTTCTTATCACTATGACATCCGGTCGACATCAATCCAGTCAAACACTTTTATACTAGACATATTCGCTTCACACATTTGCAATATATTTAATTATGCAAGGAATAACGCCTAATTTTAGGCTTCTAGGGAGCTGTTGGTTTTTTTTTTTGGAAGTAGAAGATAATTTTTCGATGAATGAAGGACTCGGAGGGTTGTGAACATGGCAGGAGAAGAAATGGAGACTTTGCTCTATCTCTATAGGTGGGAATGGTATGTGTGCTATTATCTAATCCATGCTTCTGTGGTCCATCATGCACACACTCAATAGTCAATATTTAGAAGGTACTCCGGCTTATGCTGACTTCGTTGCCACATTTTTCATGGCTGCCCATTCGACAAAATAACCATGATTCATTACAACGATTAGAATTCAAACAACAGTGAATTGCGAGTCAAATTATCCGCCAATAAACTAAGTGCAAAGTAGAGCTTTTCCTCGTTAACATTCGCCACAATATCTGGTCTGCTTGCTTGGCGCTAAAATAAACAATTAGAGAAAAAAAATGACCTTTATAGAGGCCATATTGGCCACGATGTCTCATTATAAATGACACCTATAGAGGTTACGTGGCAACGAATATGTTAGATTGACATTCTTACCTTACTGACGAAAAATTCCGCACGAAAACCTTTCTCTCAACAAGCCAGCTTTCGATCTAAAGCACAGCTTACATCAAAACTTGATTTGTGGTTCACACAAACGAGCGACAGGGCTTCAGTGAAAGACTGTACACCTCGATGTGCGACGTTATTTCACCTGCGCAATAAATTCTCCTCATGATGGTCTTTGAAAAAAAGCACGACTCCTTCCACTGAGGTGAGCAACCCTGATAAGGCACTATCCTAGGATCCAAAATTATCCTGAATAAGAAGAAGAATGAGAAAAACATTTCAAAAACCGACTTTCCTTTAACCTCGTTATGATTAGTCAACATGTGTTCAAATTGTTGAGCTCACACAAGGTTGTTATACAACGTTTATTCGGCTAACGTTTCGACGCTTTCGTCTTCATCAGAACCGATGAACCGAGTAATCATAAAATTCAAACACATATTGATTAATAATAAAGATTAGATATCATCTAAAGATCTGAAAATATTGTTAAGCTTTGTGCCAGCTAATAACAATACCGACTTCTGCAGGATGGATCGTCCAGAAAAAAGCTGTTATTTATCACCGGACAATCACTATTATCAACAACCAGCACCCTCTATAAAAGAGCATCGCCGGTTAAATATGCCTCGTTCGAGATATGTTCCATTGAAGAAGATCCGACTCCATAAGGGGACGAGGACACCACGTAGAGAAGACGAACAACTGTGCACCACCGACTCGGATCACCGGCCCTTGTGTAGACGAAGGTGTCGAAACGTTAGCCGAATAAAAGTTGTAAAGCAAATAAGAAGAAAGTCTTCGCTAAACTGAACTGAACAAGCCTTATGGGAGTTTTATAATAGTGACGAGTACTATGCCATGCATTTTTCAAAGTACTGCATTGCTCCTCTCACATAAGATTCATGTCATCAAGAAGCGGAATGTCCCCTTTTCATCTACAGATTTGGCACCAATACTATCGTTTGAAACACATTAACGAGACGAATCATCTCGTTCTGGATGTTATGGAAAGTTTTTTATATATCAAAAACGAAAATCCAGCACAACATGAGTGTTTCATTTTTTGCAACCGAGTATTTTTAAAAATCTTCTGTGACACAATAGTGAAGGAATAGCTCTAACCGAGCGTAAACAGATATGCAGTTCATAAGTCACAGACGGCAAGCAAAACAGAGTGAATAAAGGATAAAGGATAGAGCTCTCGGCGTTGATCAATTCCTGAGGGATGCTCCATGCATTCGACTTCATTAAGCATCGTTTGGAGGTGACTAAATGCACATCTGGCCTTTA